TTCCATTCCGGGGTGGTGCAGATCCAGGGCCTCCGCTACTTCAAAATTCTCTCACCGACCCAGCTTTTCCTTTGACCCGCACTCACACCTTACTTCTTTTCCCTTGTTTCTTGAATTATTTCTTTAATCCTTTCCCAAAAGCCTTTCATCATATAAACAAAATCTTTAATGCTTTTCTCCCTGTTCTGGAGCAGGAAGCTTGGCCTGCACTTAGGGTTTGATGGAGCACAGACTTCCAACCCAACATGTAGGTCATCAGACCGTCACATGGCTTTTCTGGAAGGGCTGTGTGCTCTTGGGGTTTCTATACTGCCTCTGCTGTGCTCTCCCATGCCTGCGGAAGAGCCATCCCCGTATAACTCCGTAGGAGGAAAGCAGGAAGGAAAGACAGTACTCTCATCCTGATGCACACACTCAAAGGTTAAGTGCACGTGTTTCCTGGGTGGACCGGAATCGCTCTCAGGAACTCTTGTAAAAGTGTAGTCCAGTGCAGAAGGTCTCTAAGAGCCAAAGCCGTGACATCAAGTGCATGGGCTGTCTTAGCTGAGCCATCTGACTGACTTACCGTTTAAGTAATGTTAGACAAAGTTCATTTTGTTAGTTCTCAGTGTTCCCAGTCAACAGTTCCCAAGTGGTAGCTGGTTTGTGATTGAGGTAGACGAACCCTAGTTACCGATGATTTCGCTGTTGCACTTGGACTTTTGGTTTTCTCTGGTGGAAGTATTCCACCCTCACTGCAGCGGTGCCGAAACCATCCCCACCTGCTGACTTTCTCCTAACTGCACAGGATGCCTTGTTTGTTTGTTTGTTTGTTTGTTTGTTTGTTTCAGACTCTTCCACTAGATCCCAGGCTGACCTCAGATTTGCGCCAGTCCTCTTGCCTCAGCCTCCTGAATGCTGGGATTACAAGCATGAGCCAGAATGCCCAGCTCTACCTTTGCCTTTTAATGTCACAATACATCCTTAGGCTGCTTTTCAGAACCGGCCTTTCTTCCTGCCTTTCATCCATAATGCTCCCAATCCAGTGTGAGTGCTCCCTATCCAGTGTGAGTGCCCCCTATCCAGTGTGAGTGCCCCCTATCCAGTGTGAGTGCCCCCTATCCAGTGTGAGTGCCCCCTATCCAGTGTGAGTGCCCCCATCCAGTGTGAGTGCTCCCTATCCAGTGTGAGTGCCCCCATCCAGTGTGAGTGCTCCCTATCCAGTGTGAGTGCTCCCTATCCAGTGTGAGTGCCCCCTATTCAGTGTGAGTGCCCCCTATCCAGTGTGAGTGCTCCCTATCCAGTGTGAGTGCCCCCTATCCAGTGTGAGTGCCCCCATCCAGTGTGAGTGCTCCCTATCCAGTGTGAGTGCCCCATCCAGTGTGAGTGCTCCCTATCCAGTGTGAGTGCTCCCTAGTGTCTGCTTTGTCTTCATTCTCCTTCCCCTTCAGACCTCCATGTGGATGTCCAGGGCTTATGCTAATAAGATTGCATTACTGTTGTCGTGAAGGCTGCTTCCCCTGACACTCACCTAATGCATTGGGGAACTGCTGTACCACATATACAGAACAGGAAAATTAACTAGTGTTTTAATGTAAAATAAATGAAAGTGGTATGACTTTTTGTCTTTTTTTAACTTGCAGTATATTTTCCATGCTCAATTTGGTGAGTTTGTGTATCCATATAGCACAGTATGAAGTATGATTGGGATATTCCCATGATACTTCAGAGCTGCCCGGTATCATTTCCGCGCAGACTCCCTCCGTGTGCAGAGCCCTCCTTGCGCTTCTCACTGTGTGTTAAGTTCCTTTGGTTTGTTGAAATGGAATCATAGCGTATTTTCTCTTGTGTGTCTGTCTTTCATTCAACCCCGTGTTCTGACATTCACCTATTAGTTGATTGTTTTAGTAGTTGAGCCATTTTATTGAGCAGTATGAAAGCGTATGAATATATCATATTTAGTCATCTATTTTCCTAATGGCAGGCATTAGGATCGGCTCCAATTTTTAATAGTTATAAATACAATTTCAGTGAAATTTTTTCTACAACTTTGTTGGTGGCCATATGCTTTTATGTATTTTAGGCAATTAACTCATTTGTGTAAACCTCACAAAAATCCTAGTTTTCTGTTGCATTGTTCATAGCCCTGCTGTCAGTGTATCAGAGTTCTCCTTGCACCGCGTGATCACCAATGTCTGATATTGTGCTTGACTTTAAACAGCCCCTACCCCTGTTTTTTTGTTTCGTTTGGTTTATTGAGAAAGTATCTCCTGTAGCCCAGGCTGTCTTTGAATTCCTGATCCCTCCTGGTTCTGCCTCTCAAGTGCCAGGATTACAGACATGTGGCACCACACCCAGTTGCAATTTTTTTGTTTTTAGTGAAGGTAGAAAGTGTATTACTAGTGAAACAGAAAGAACACAGGTCTATGAAATGGGATAGGCTTTCAGATGGATACAGGAGCCATTAGGTGTTGTAGAAAGAAGGGCTGTATGAACTCAGGTGCCTGAAATCAGGGCAGCCTGCCGCAGTACACGTGGTCTCCTGGCGATCATTGTAGCACTTGATGCTAGAAACGCCAAAGACTTGTGCTCTGAGTATGAGATAATGTGCTCCAACTCACCCCACTGAAATTCAAAGCAAGAAGGTTCTCGTGGCACTTATTATATTACACAGCTGAGCATCCCTACCCCCACCCAATGCTGGGCTATAAAAATTCCTGCCTCTTTGCTAAAAGCCTCCACTGGCTTGAGAAACTTCCTTTTGTGATTTGCAGGCTGAGCTTACGTTACTGATGAGATTAAAAACATATTTCGCTATAAAAGTTTATGGTGTTCCAGCCTCTTCAATATATGTGGAGTTGGAAGAACACTCCTTACCCACAGTCCCTGACTTATTTCTTGCCCACTGCCCTGCCCTCTGCATCCATGTGCTCACATACCTGAGAACCTTGGGAGCATCTCCCCAAAGACTGCTCTCCACTACACAGCAAGAAGGCATTAAAATGAATGCCTTGTGGAAGTGTTTGTTGTTAAAACAGTTATTAGCAAATGAAATCACTCAAGCTACCCAGTGGGGTTCATTCTGGTATGAAGTGCATATTACTTTACTTTCCTATTATATACTTACTGAGTCTAGGTTGTTCCCTGTGGCTAGAAACTCCTATAACCATCAAGCCAGAAATGGAAGCAGAATCTCTGTGGGTGAATTTTCTAACCTTCAGTTCAGTGACTAATAATAGTTTCCCTTGGAGATTTTTAAAATAATATTTTCATTAATTCTTTACATTCATTCATTCACACACTGTATTTTGGTCATATTCACCCTCACCAAATTCCTCCCAGATCCATCGCTACCTCTGTACCCACCAAACTTTGTTCTCTTTTAAAAGGGAGACTAGCTTAATTGACATGAAAATCTCGAGATAGTTCAGCCCGGTCACCTGTTCCCTCCCTTGGTCTTCATTTGAAGGAGAGGCATTCCTGCCTTGACTGTTCTCATCTTTAAGCCCACATACCTGGCTGGCATGGCATCACACACCTATATTCCCAGCACTTAGGGGTTACAGACAGGAGGTTTGCAAATTTAAGGCCTGGAAGACCTTGAGTCAAGTCAAATAAACCTGAATGCCTTTCGCTACCCCCGCCTCTCCTTCCACTCACAGCCCGCTCAATCAATGCCTTTTAGCTTCTTATGTGTTATCAGTCAGCTTGTCTTCCCTCACTAATGAGAAAAAAGATAAGAGAGTCTCCAGGAGCTGGGAAATGGCTCAGTCTGTACAGTTCCTCCTGCATAAGCATGAAGACCAGCATTCAGATCCTCAGCCCACACATAGAAGCCGAGTGCCACAGTGTGCATGCGTCATCCCAGCAGAGGGCAGGTAGAGACAGGAGGATCCCATGGACTTGCTGAGCTTCCAGTCTAGCAGAACTGGCATCACTGAGAGACCCTGTCTCAAATTAAGCTGGAAAGTAACTGAAGAGTGCACTCGGTATTGACTCTGGCCTCCACACATGGGGATGCATGTACACATGCATCTGCACACACACACACACACACACACACACACACACACACACACACACACACACACCCTGCCTCCCTACACAAAGGTTCAGTTCCCTTTCCATTTTACACTCACGCAGTCTTCTGCCTTGTGACCAGGCTAACATTTCATTGATTCATTTAAGTATTTATATCTGTTTTTCCATCAGTGGTCACCACAATTTTCCATATGTTCAGAAATCCTTTGAGAAAGATTTCTTATATGTACATGCATACATGTATATGATAGCATAGGTGATAGCGTGGTGGTTCTCACCCTTCCTAATGCTGGGACCCTTTAACACAGTTCCTCATGCTGTGGTGACCCCCAACAATAAAATTATTTCGTTGCTACTTCATAATTGTAGTTTTGCTACTGTTATGAATAGTGATGTAAATATCTGATAGGCAGGATGGTCTTAGGTGGTCCCTGTGGAAGGGTTGGTCATTCAACCTCCAAGGAGTCATTACCCACAGGCTGAGAACCACTGTGTCAGCTCTCTATAATGTATACACACATTTAATTTAATTTAATTTAATTCAGCTATTTCCAGAGGAATTGCTGAAAATCAGATGTTGTCCTCAGAAGCCAAATAAATTAATCTCTGAGTCTTTTGGTTCTGTTGACCAAGGAGATTAGCTGATAGCATGGAACTGAGCAGTCTCTGTGGAAGCCAAACTGAGTACCCCATCCCTGGGCAAGGGGTGTGGCTTATCCTTATCAGAAGGTGAAACTATAGGAATACAAAGTCTTTCACATATGAACACATTTCACAGATACCCTTTTAACTGGATATCTGGGAATCTCTTTATTTGAGAAGTTGGGAAATCAAAGGTGTGATTTAGTGACGTCAGATAACTGACCATACAGTAGCTTTATAATTCTAGCACGTGTCTGGTTCAGTAAAGGAAAAATTGTAGTCACACATATCTTCCCTTTGGATTGATCGCTAAAAACCATCTGTTCTTTTTCTCTCAGGAGCCTCCAGACCGGTGGCTTTGCCTGGGAGGGCGAGGTAGAGAACAATGCCTACAGCAAGGCCACAGGAGTGGTCCCCCAGCACAAGTACCACCCCACGGCAGGCAGCTACCAACTCCACTTCGCTCTCCAGCAACTTGAACAACAAAAACTTCAGTCCCGGCAGCTTCTGGACCAGAGTCGAGCCCGGCACCAGGTAACTGAAAATCATAGGATCATGTCTTCCTTCTGTTGGCGAGGCAGTTGAGGGATGAATGGGCAGTGAATGGCTGTTTCCTAAACATTACCAACCTGCCCTGGGCTGCCTCAGTCCTGCTCTCGGGCTGTAGCATTGGCTACTTTGGAAGGTGATGCTGAACTAGTGTTCAGCATGGTTTTATTTGAATTTGTAAAACCCTTTGTTTATTATCATGTTTACCTTTTCTGTTGAATGATCTTAGTAGTCTCCCGATAGAATTCCCAGTTCCCAAAGCTGTATTTCAAGCATCTTTATTTGTAAATATACCAATTTCTGCCCTCCATAGACTTGGTACTGATAAGTATCTAAGAGTCCTTTAGGATCTATCATAACTTGTAATTTCTGAAAAATGTTCCTAAGTTAGGTTGTTGGATTTCTGGAGTTGACAGCTGCTCATTCACTGAGTGTCTGTTGAGTGTCTGCCGTGTTCTGGGCACTGTTTGAAGCAGTGGGACTGTAACACTGCCCCACTTGCTGTCAGCTCCTGGATATATGTGTAAAGAACCATATTGCACCAGGGTAGTCCCAATTGCAGAGAAGAGATGGCCCCCGGAAAATGTCGAGAGAGTTTGCTTGTTCTTCTTGACTCTGCACAAGGGTTGGAACCAGTGACAAGGTCCTGCAGGAGGCTTATTTGGTTGGATTCAAACTATTTCTGTGAGCTTCTTTGGCCTTTCGTTATGGAGGAAAGACACCTTTGCCTGTTTTCCTGTCCTTTGCTTCTTCTTCATAAATATATATAATACATAGTATGTGTCAGTTTGTGCGTAAAGATGAAAACAAGTCTTTCAGCCACTGCTTTCTTCCCTGAGGAGAGCCATCATTATGCCTGATAGGTTTACTTATCAACTACGACAGTAGTCAGTTTTCCCATCTCCATGAGAAAAAGCTGAGAATGTCGACTTAGGGGAGGAAAAGGCTGATTTTGGCTCATAGCTTCAAGGTTTTAGTCCATGGCTGGCTGACTCAGTGCTTTTAGGCCCATAGCAAGACTGAGACCGCATGGAGAAAGGAGCTTGGCAAAGGAAAGCCATTAACCTCTGACAACCAGGAAGCAGAGGTGACAGGAAGGAGCCAGAGCCAGAGCCAGGACATGCCCACCCACACCAGGGGACCCACTGCCTCCACCTAGATGGTGACGACGTAAGGGCTCTAGCCTTCATGATCGAATTTTTTTTTTTTTTTTTCTGGAAACATCCTCACAAACACAGGCAAAGGTGTGCTATACTAATCGCTTATGTCTTGATCTAATCAAGTTGACAATCCTCATTAGCCATCAAAACTATTGTCCAGAACAAAATGTGCCCACTGTGCTTTGCCTGCATCAGTCACCTGATTGCATTTCTCTACAGCAGAGTGTTTTGTCAATTAATGCATCGTAATTGAGAAATTATAAATGCAGCCATTTGTGAATAGTTCTTTGAACCATACTTCACTGGGGAAAACTTCAGATCTTTTAACTGGGAAAGCTTAGACTGTGGCACCTCATGTTGACTGCCCATTGTACCCTCTCACATAGAAGTTTCCTCACTTACAGAATTTTGGAACAAAGCCCCCAGTGGGGGTGGTGCACTCATTTAATCCCAGCACTCGGGAGGCAGAGGCAGGTGGATATCTGTGAGTTCAAGGCCAGCCTGGACTACAGAGTGAGATCCAGGACAGCCAGGGCTACACAGAGAAACCCTGTCTCAAAAAACTGAAGGGGGGGGGGGATTTGGGGACAGTAGAATCAAGGTATCAATCTGTGTAAATTTCTTAAAGCTATTTACAGTTCTAAATGCCTGTCATGTTAATTACCCAGCAGTGCCAATATAACCAGATGCCGACCAGGACAGACATGTATGAATATAATAGTAGATCATTTGAATTTTGAATTTATACCATTGGTCCCTTTTAATTTTTTTTCTGTGTATTTATTTGTTTGTGTGTGTGTGTGTGTGTGTGTGTGTGTGTATGTGTGTGTGCGCGCGTCCATATGGAGGTGCATATGGAGGTCAACTTGTGGGAATCCATTCTGCTCACCTAAACTCACTGAGCCATCTCTCTGGCTGCATTGGTGTCTTTTTTGGTTTTTAGATTTGTTTTTTAATCAAAACTACAGGCATTTTTTTTTAATTAGAGAGAGAGAGAGAGTCTGTGTGTGTCTGTGTGTGTGTGTCTGTGTGTGTGTGTCTGTGTGTGTGTGTCTGTGTGTGTGTTTGTCTGTGTGTGTGTGTCTGTGTGTGTGTGTCTGTGTGTGTGTGTCTGTGTGTGTGTTTGTCTGTGTGTGTGTGTCTGTGTGTGTGTGTGTCTGTGTGTGTGTGTCTGTGTGTGTGTTTGTCTGTGTGTGTGTGTCTGTGTGTGTGTGTCTCTGTGTGTGTGTGTGTGTGTGTCTGTGTGTGTGTCTGTGTGTGTGTGTGTGTGTCTGTGTGTGTGTGTCTCTGTGTGTGTGTGTCTGTGTGTGTGTGTGTCTGTGTGTGTGTCTGTGTGTCTGTGTGTCTGTGTGTGTGTGTCTGTGTCTGTGTGTCTGTGTCTGTGTGTGTGTCTGTGTGTCTGTGTGTGTGTGTACCTCAGTGTTCCTGTACAGGTCAGAGGACAGCCTTTGGGAGTCGTCGGCTCCTTCCACTTGGTTGGATCTAGGGGTCGAACTCTAGTAGCCAGATTTGGCAACAGTCACCTTTTCCAGCTGAGTCATCTCACAGGCCCACGGGTTCCTTTTAAACCACATTTTAACACACTAAAATGGTAAAGAGCATTTTCAAAATAAAAGGAGCTGTTTACAGCGCATTGAAGTTCTGAAGAAGGAGAGGCTGTTTTTGCTGATTTTCACTTTTAAAAACTGCTTCATTTTGAGTCCTCATGCTTTTGATTAGCTTCCAGCAGCACACATTCCTTTGAAAACTCAGAGTACTGCTTTTCTGGTGTGGATTTTTTTCACTGAGGATTATCCTAGTTTGGTTTCACTGAATTATGAAGTATATGGAAAATATGTTTTTTCAAGATCTGTCAGAATATCCATCTTAGGGAGGAGGCAGAACTCCCAGGAAGGGAGTTATCTTGTGTCTCCTGGAGAGGGAATAGAAAGCCATTCGTCTTGGTTTTATATATGTTTAGATATCATTTTGTTTCTGCCCCTCCTTCTTCTAAACCACAACTGATTTAGGTAAAAGTGAGTAAGGGTGAAGTCCCAGGGCTGTGGGGAAGCAGGAGCGACCAAATCCTGCCAGCTTAGATTCATAGCAAGACAGCCAATGAAGTATTAGGTATCCTAACTTGACCACTGCTTAGTGATTTGGAGCACTTTATTCAGAAGACATTCAGAGTTAGTCACTCTACAGCAGAAGCAAAGTCCTGCTAGACCCCAAGCCTTTGTATTTAGCTTAGCTGTGCTAGACCTGACCATCTTACTTACCACCATCGATTGAAGCGTGGGGTGCGTTCTCAGTGTGGCCTGTGTCTCTTCCCTCATGTTAATTCTTTGGGTGAAGATGGTATTTATCTAATGAATGCCCTGTGCTTTTAAGCCCTTTTCTTGAAGTATAGGTAACTAGCAATTTGGCTAACTGCCTTTTTGAGATTCCTGTATAGAATTATGTGTAGAATTAAGTTGGGTTTACCAAGCATGCATCCATAGGCAAGATATTTGGAGACTAGTATGCTAAGGGGCCTTTACCTTATGCTCAGGCACATTATCATGCAATAGAGTGTAGTAATTCCATCTATAAATAGCACCGTTCACATGGTGATCTCTTACTAAATGTTTGGATGACTGTATGGCTTTTCTTCCATTCCATGCAAAGGAAGTCCTCCATCCCTTTCTATCTTCAATCAGAGCACTTAGATATTCAGCCTGTTAGCACGTTCATTTCAGGGAGACAATTCTGATTCAGGGTGTTAGCCTAGAAACAGCATATCCAACCATCAGTATGGACTCAGCATTGTGCTTCGTCTCTGCCTACCATTGTGCTCACAAATCTAGAAATTGCCATGCCAAGTTCACTCCTGAGAAAAATGGACCCTTGCCACCTGGGAGTAAAAGAAGTCACTCAAAACCATTAGCAGAAGATTAGGGACAGAAATAAGAGAAACTATCATCCATGATAAACAAAGAGAGTGAATACTGGAAGTATGAACCTTTCTAAACCCTAGTGACTGAACCCAATAGCCTGTGAAACCTTGTACAAGATTGACAGACTTTCTGTAAATAACCTTCACTAGCCATAGGTTCTCTGTTATGGCTCCTCAGCTGCCGTGGCAGAGTGAAAACAACCACACATAGTATGTGCATGAATGACTGTGACTGTGTTTTGATAAAACTTTATTTAACAAAAACTGGCAGCAGGCTGGATTTGGCCTGCAGGCCCTAGTTTGTACATCCCTAGTCTAGAATAGCAGAAGAGCCAGTTAAAACATGATTGTCCATTCATCCCATTTCTGATGTAGGTTTGGGAGAGGGCTCAATTATTTTCATTTCTCACAAGCTCCCAAGGGATGCTAATGTCATTCTCTCAGGGACTATACAATGAAATCTACCCAGAAGGAATGAAATAGTCTGTCTGTCTGTCTGTCTCTCTCTCTCTCTCTTCCCTCCACCCCGTGTGTGTGTGGGGGGGGGGAGATGGTTTTTCTGTCCCTTGGAAGGGAAATTGTGTGTTTAAAACTTAGTATCACTCAATTTCAAACAGTCATTTTTGGGGAATTTTGTTGCTGTCTTCCTGAGGCCGGGTTCCACGGCCTCCTCCTAAGTGAGTTATCAGAACACCTCCTCGCTCACCCTTCTTATCAGAGTACATTCTGCTCACTGGTCACAGCTCTGGGACACACATCTCCGAGCAGGCAAGCGAAAGGAGCGAACAGCCCTGCCTTCTGCTTTGTTAGGAATGGCCACGGCTTCAGCAGCTCTGCCTTGTCAAGCACTCACTATTCCAGGTGCGGCCTGTGTCTTAACTCACGGAAAATGAGCTGCAGGATGCTTAGGG